GCCTATATTTTATTGTGGTTGCAATGATTAGTAAGGGATTTGAGCTGTTGAGAAATATGCTGTATACGTAGTATTTTTACACTACAGAGTTAGAACTGATTTAATAACTACATCCTTTCCCTTAGGTGCTGTAGACTTTTTTAAGCAAGTGGAACTAGGAAATTGTTCCTAGTTCCACTTGCTTAAAATTCTTAGCCCTCTTATCAAATATCATTTGGAGGAAATCATATATGTTAATGAGGAAGAAACTTTTAAAATGAAAATCTTATTTAAATTAGTAGTGGATACATAAAAGAGATCAGTATGTTTTCTCTCCCTCCCACTATCTTTTTTGGGGTTATGTTAAATTCAGGATCATCTTCCTTTTGGGTAAATATACTGTTACACAAACCCCTGACATTGCTTTTAAAAAAGAATGATTGCTACCTTTGACATTGCTTCTGAATTATCATATCTCTAGTGCTATCTGTACTTCTTGAATCATGGTGTTTAAAGGAACAGTCTAAAAGTAGTGGTGGAATAAAAATTTCCCTCACTTATCACTAGAACCAACCCATTGTTCTCTTTCATAGCCACAAAAATTATGATCTTCAAGGGAGTATGACACACCTATCTATCTGAACCAGCCCAACTGTGTTTTCCTACATGAGGGTGAAACTGCTGTTGAGCTATATGATTTAAATGAACTTGAGATTCTTGTTATTGCAGAATTAAAAACACCAGAACAGGTATTTGGAATTCAGATGAGAATTCTAACAGAATTTTTGCATTCACATTGCAAAGCTACATAGGCAAAAGAAAACCAAAACACAGTAAGCCATGTGTAAGAATGACAGAAAGTCTTTGGAGTCTACCCGATCCCATAATAACAGTTGCTTTATCACTTGTTTTGGAATGGTGGACATGGGTAGAATCTTAAAAAAAAAAAAAAAAAAACCTATACAAATCATTCCATATGTCCATGATAGGCTTTAGTCTGTCTGTTTGTCTGTCTGTTTGTCTATTTCATAGCAGTTCATGAAGCCAGATGGCAAGCTACTTTTGAACCTGGGAAGACTTCCAAAAGGCAGCTTGTGACATTATATAGGGGGTGACAGAAGAGAAATAGCAAACATTCAACTATGTATGTCAAATCCCTGGAACATCCTAGAAATGACAATGAAGCTACTCTGGAGTAGCATAAGAGGAACAAATGAATGTCTACCCAAAACTTAAGATTGCCAATGCCTTGGTAACAGCCTTCCAATTGGTTATATTTACCACCTTCTATGTTATATGTGTGAAACCAAATACTCTCTTTGTCCCCTTCTATATGTGGGGGCTGTGTTGATCTGAGATCGGCACCATTCAAGGTGTCCCTATAATATTAATTGGGTTTCTGAAGAGCTTGGGAAGCCAAGATGGTTAATTAATGGCTCGACTTCTGCTTCTGAGGAAATATAGCAAACAAATGTTTTGCAGCCTTTTCTCTTGAGCTGCAGGGCATGCCATTCCTCAGTGGTGGGAACTCCCACCTTATCCTGCCTACTATCCCCAAGATACTACCTCTCCTGCCAGGTGGCATAGTAGTGTTGCCCTGTCTCCCACTGCAAATACAGAAAGGAAAGAATGAAGATGTGGATGGAGTGTTGATAGGCTGCTGTTTTTTACATTCTTCCATTGCTAGTTGGAGGGAGCTTTGGCTAGCAACAGGGGAGGATGGGACTCAACTGCAAGGACAATCACACAATGCTGCAGAAAGACTGCCAGAGGCTATGTGGCAGTTCCCTTTGTCTTTAAGCATCTGAAGAACTGATATCCCCTCTCACAATACTATAGATAACCACCTGCAACTAGAAGAGTAGAGAAAACAATATGAAGGAAGAAAATGAGCCACCTAATAATGTTCAGGGTTACAGTTTCTGATGGTACTTTGTAGGGATTTTTGATGAGTTACCAGTGCTGATCCTGCTAGGAACTGATATCATTCAGAGCATGGACTGCCCTGTTGTCCAGTGCACTATTGAGCATTGCCAGATCCCTTCACTTAGAATCCTTGTCCACTAAAGGCACTTAGACTGCAATTCCATTCACATGTTTCTGGGAATAAGCCACATTTGGGCTGCACCTCTAATTATGCACAAGATTGTGTTATAGCTTTCTTTTCACTTATCACAATAGCCCCAATTCCCAGCTACCAGTAATGGCCAGTGCAACTGATTCACCAATAATGTGTTTGCATGTAGTACAATGAAGTTACACTGTCCTTAGTTACTACTTCTGGCACAACATAAATGAACACCATTGTATACATTTTAATTAAAAGACTCTTGAAATATGTTAAATGCTCCAAATTGTATAGAGATGTAGGATAAGATCCATGTTCCATTCTCCAATATTTGAATGTAACTTGTGGAAAAGTCAGAGCATGGGCCAACTCTTTGGGACCTAAGTTCAGAGTCTGTGATTGTGTATCATGGCAGTGAAAGTACGGACAGCAAATGCAATTATCCTTCTCCATTGACCCATGATGAAGATCATAAAATATGAAGACAATTATTCCATAGGAGGCTGATGGCTGCATCTGATATTCAGTTTTTAGGCTGATATTTTCAAAACAGAAAAAAATGGTCAGGACTTTAAAACCTATGGGCATTTTCATAATAATAGCTATAGCAGTTTTCCCCAGCCTTATATCTTCCAGATAAATTGGGACTGCAATTGTCAGAATTCCTTGCCAGCACAGCTGTCCAGAAATTCTTAAGAACTGAAGTTCCTAGTAAAGACTGGATGCCAGGTTGGAGAAGGCTAACTTACACAAACTTACACAATGCTTTCTCCCTTGCATTGTGAGCTTAAAAGTAATATTTGAATACAATCATGAATCATTCCTGATTTCATTAGTATGTGTATTTCTCACACTCACAGTTGATTTGATAGGTCTAACAAAGACATATATGTTCAACTCTTGGCTGCATTCCTTACAATAAAAATATAGAAAAGGAATGACTAAATAGGACTAATACTGACTAGAGTCAGTCTTGGGAAGTACATATGTACTTCTTCCATGACATTTTAAAGAACTCATTTGCTTATGAAGAGGGATGGATTGAAGTGTTGCTTTTGAAAAGCTGAAGAAAATCAGGAAGACAAAAAGCACTTAATTTGATTCTCATTGGAATCAGTTTTCCTAGCTATTTCAAGTTGAAGTTGTAAATGTGATTTATAAGCTGCTCTTTAAAAAAAAGAAGTAGGATGGGGGAAAGAAACTTAAATGATTTCCAGACCACATTTTCACAAGTAGAAAAGGAAATATTACTCTCTCCAGGAGCTATTTAACATTGTACCCCGTCTAGACACAGACTTTCCTTGCTTTCCTACCAATAATTGCTTTGGGAAATCTGGGTGTGTATGTGCGTGTGTATGTTTGCCTATAGCAAGAAAAGAATTCCCTCCCTGTCAGCTGAAGCACTCACTCTGGCTTCAGTGCTTTACATCCAGGTAGCACATTTGCTATTGCATATTTGCATTCTCCAAAGAATTGGAAGAAACATCAGTACTGCTCATATTGCTAGCTATGTTCTAATGAAGGGAACAAACAGAAAGGGACCAGATGTCAAGGTAATCAGCTGAGAGATAGTTGTGTATCTGAGATGCCCTGGAAGGCTTTGCGTTTATCTGTTAACAACAACAAAACATACTTAATTTCCACCAGCATATTAAAATCTTCCTCTCATGAGCAGGGTAAAAAGAATGCCTTGCAATGAAAAGTTTTTCCTTTCTGCTAGAAAATTTGACTGTCTGATTACTCTGAGATTGACTGAATAGTCACTGTCTCCAGTTCGGGTTCTGGCCCTGGATCACATTACCAGAAGAGCTCCAGGAAAAAAACATACAAATGAATAAAATGAGGCACCTTTCCCCACTGGATTGTTTAATGCCTGTAAAGCCTGTGGCTCTTCTAACTTTAGCAGCACCTCTGCTCTAGGTTGGCGACGGAGCCCTGGGAAGACACAGTGATCTATTGCCTTTTTCCACTGCAGTGTGGGAGGTTAGGAGGGCAGTCTCGGCTGGAAATACTTCTGGTTTTTATTTTCCAGCCTGGAACACATTCTCTGGAACAAACAAATACCAGAACAGCTTTATGAGACATCTGCATTTTAGAGCCAGCCTTTGTAGTGTCTGGCAGCCATCAGAGGAGAACTGCTTTATCTTCCTCTGAAAAGTACACGGTCAAATCAATACCAATCTTTGTTGGCATTTTGTGGTTGGTGCACAGCATGGGAGAACGGCGGTGAAGAACAGGAGCAGCTATAGGCTTAACAATCCTAAATCAAAACCAATTCTGTTTCCAACTGAAATCTTTTTACTCTTTCCCTTGTGCCCTGCAACTCTCAACATCAAAACTCATCGCTCTAGAGAATGATCCCAGGATGCTGAGATAAAGGGACTGGCATGTTATGGTACCATGGAACAATAAGAAATAAATCGTATTTGATAGGTTTTTGCTTCCCATTTCGAGAGACAGTACACCATCAGCTCTCAAACTCTGGAGAGGAGAGGAGAGGAGACTGGCAAAATACACAAAGATACTTCCTGCAAACAGATCCCCCCTCCTCTAATTGCTTGGGGTAAATTCTCTATTTTCCCTTCCTTTCTGTGACTCATTTGTTTCCACCGCCCAATCTTTCTCTTTTCTGGTCAAGAAACAACCCTACAAAATTATGTGGTGAAGAATTAAAGGCAAAGTGACTTTATACATGTAGAATTATATATAGTCTAAGAATAGAAAGGAGAATTCAATGAGAGACCATTTGTTTACATTGTTCCATGGGGATATCCCATATTATCCATATAAATGATACAAGTAACTAACGCTATAAGGCCAACTTAACACAAATGATGGAAAGCGAGAGAGAGAGAGAGGGAGAGAGAGAGAGAGAGAGAGATTTTTTTGTTCTGCAAATGCTCAGTAGTTAAGAACATACCTGCTTTCAACAGGTGAAAATCTCTGCCCATACCTGTCATGTGTTAGGCCCACGGTGTGGATGAAGAAGGTGGGGATCTTCTCATCTGTTCAAAATATAGAGGGGCTACTGGAACATCCAAGTCGCCACTCCTTTTTTAAGCGGCTGGCACAAGTGGTCCTCTTTCCTCACTGCTTAAAATCTGGAAAACCTTTTACTTTTACCTTATATGAGCTGAAAGATGATGCTGGATGGCTGTCGGCCACATCTGTCAGGAGCCCCAAGCAGACCATTGGCCAAGGCCTGGTCACGTGGCATTACTGCCTTGACCTGCAACAGTTCAAGCGAATGTTGGTTTTACCCCCTAAGGAAGGCGTGCTTGACAATTTTCATATTTCTTCTAAATTTGGAGATTTCAGACAATGCTCAGAATGCCAGAGACCCATGTGGAAGTCATTAACGCCGGGAAGGAGGGAGGGAGAGAAGGAAGGGGGGAGACGGAGGGAAGGCATTGGGGGTGGGGGCAAGGGAGCGAGGCCTGGAGGCTGTTGCCAGCTACATGCCTGGGAACGTAAATGAACTCACTCAGGGAAAGTTGTTTGTAATAATTTGCTTCCTCTCCAGTTCTCCTGCCCCATTTGGAAAAGCAGAGCAACCCTGAGAAGCACATGCTTGAAGGGGATACGTTCTATCCAGTCAGTGAGAAATGCAGCAGAATGCAACAGCAGTGGAAGCAAAAGGAAAAAAACATTTAGAAGCCATTATTTTTGAACCCATAGGATGGAGTTGCTTACGGCAGGCTGCAGCCTACACGGTTCAGAACCTGAAGAGAGAGAGAGGCACTTCCCTGGCCTGGCTTGAGCTACCCTGTGATTTTCATTAGTCTGAGAAAACTTCATCTGACCAGGCTAAAAAAACATACAAGCACACGAAAAGCAGCAGATGAAATTCACAAAGATGATTTCTTTCCCTCATCCTAATCCTTTCTTGATCTTTTTTACTCTCTCTCTCTCTCTTTCTGACTATGCATGATCAAAGGTGATATAGGACATTTTTTTTCAATATGCCTTTTCCAGCCTGATTGGACTATATTAGATATCTAGAGTAGATTCAGAAGTCATGAATTAGGTTGGTGTCAATCTGATGAGGAAATATAGTCATGAAGTCTTGGAAACCAAATGTAGGTTCCTAGGTACAAGGTTGGAAGCTAGGATTTCTAGTGCAGCTTTCTTTAAACACTATCCGTTTGGCTGGACAGGTGGAACTAGGAGGTTTTAATGATTGGATAAAATAATGGTGTAACATGAAGTGGGATTTAATTTGGTAAAGTCCCAGGGAACATTTTTGGGAGAAGCTCAGTTAGTAAATAGGGAAGGAACCCATTTTATCCAAATGGAACCAAATTGCTTGAACTTACTATCAAAAAGTTGGTAAGCTGATATTGGGGAGAAGTCAATGAATCTGAAGATCTGAAGAGTTGGGCCACGTATACATTTAATAAACAACAATAACAACAACAGCTATTATTATTATTAAGAAGAAATTACAGTAAAAATATATTTGTTTCCCCAAAGGGTGATAGGTCAGAAAAAGGCCACAAGCAAGTAGTAGAACCTGTTAGTCAAAGAGCCCAAAGGAAAGTCATGCAGCTAAAATATTTGGAGAAAGATCCCACATATTGGTGTTTTTATGCTAATGCTAGAAATTTTAATGTTTTCCCAAATGCTTATTGCATTGTCATATTAGCACATCTGTAAAGTACAAGGATGTAAAGAAAATCTAAACAACAAAGTCATCAGTAAATGAACATGTAAATAACAATGATCGTTTACAAGCAGAGTTTAGGCATTCACCAAAACCTGCCTTCTGTCAATGATATCATTGATGATAGTGTAACTATCCTGACATTAATAGGCTAAATAATATTTGTTATGATCAACAAAATATTGTCAACATAACACTGTAATAATGGCATTTTGCGATTTGAAGTCTCTTCAAGAAGAAAACAAGGAAGGGGCAAGTTGGGGTGCTTTGTTTTAAAGAATAATATAGTGATTTCCACAATGGTAACTGGTTTTGTGCATTGCAGCAGAAATGGAGATTCTCATGTAATATAAAAGACTGTTTTGTGGGGTAATCTTCTGTGGACCACATCAGACTTGAAATGCAGGCATAAATAAATAAAGAAAACCAGTAAGAGAAGGTCATTATTGGATACCAATGGTAAAAAAGCTGGGATCTACTTACTAGAGATGGTGTCCTTCTGTGCCAAAGAAAGAATGATGACCAATCAAGCAAATTCCTCAAAAGGAAAAACTCCTTGGAATGATATCAGATTCCCCAAATAATTATATACTGTGGACATGCTATTGTCCACCTACCCCAAATATTAGGAATGACCCTGAGATGGAGAATTTAATCGGACGCATCCAAAAGGGAATGCTTTGTAAATTGGAGTGATATCAATTATCATAATAGAAAAAGAAGCAACATTTTATAACTTCTAAGGGTGGTCCTGATCCACAGGAGAAAACAATTCTAGATAGCATGTAGGATATAGTAAGATGTATAAGTGTTTCACTGACAGGAATTAGTGATCACAGTGCTTTCAAACTTCATTTAAATGTAACAGGAAAAATGTGGAGAAAGTCCAGAAAAGTTCTTTAAAAGGAAGGACTGGTAAAAAGAAAACTGAAAAAAAATGGGGTGTTAAAACTCTTGGAAATGCTTGGGGATTAATCAACATCACAATAATAGTATAGCTTGAATGTAAACTGCAGGTCAAGCAACACCACCACCTCCAAGAGGTCAGCAACACGATTAATGGGCAGAGTTAAGGAAGCTATGCCTTTAGATTCCTTTAGACTAGGGATGAGCAACTGAGGGCTACCTGCCACATGTAGTGACTGTACCCTACTTATATTCTGAAACTCCCAAGACTATTTCCACTAAAATTTAGCAGTAAAGTTCTGAATTTCAAAAGCACCGTTATGAGGCTTTTGGAGGGGCTGGTAGGTTTAACAGCAGAAATGGTAGCACTTTGCCTCCTAGAACCTTCTGTTCCCATTCCCACATCACCTCCTACAAAAACAAACAAATAAAACAGGCCAAAAAATGCAACATGCCTCTTCCACTGATCCTACCACATCACCAGGTAGCTTTTTTGCAACCCTGCAGAAGGCGGGAAGGTTTAATTGATCAGTTCTGCTTTAGAAAATGGAAGTCTTACCCAAAAAAGAACAAAACGGAAAGCTCCAAATTCAGAGGTCATAATCCTGTCAGTATTAGTTGCTGGGAAACACTAGTGGGAGAGCATTGTTTAATTCCAGTCTTACTAGTGAGTTTCACAAAAGCATCAAGTTGGTCTCTATGAAAGCAGTAGGTGGTCTAGATTGGCCTTCTGATCCAGCGCAACCCTTGTTATGTTCCTACAGTTAGATCTTAGCTACTTGGTACTAGAGGTCAGGGCAATGTCTTGCGTGGCCTACCTTGCACTTCCAATATTGGCCTTTGACCTTCAAGTGTGATGGTGGAAGGTGTTAGTCATCAATGTTGCGATAAAATGTAACAGTCCTAGGAGCTTTTGTTTGTGTGAATCAGTTTGTTCCTGTAATCTTATGAATTGCTTGGTTTAGCCTTGAAAGGGTAGAATATTTATGATGGAAGGTGAATCATAAAGGGAAAGAGTTTCTGGAGAGCTGAATAGGGTTTCTGAAGTTTTAAATAACAGTTATGAACTCTTCTGTATAAGATCAACTGAAGTTATATGTGTACATAGTGGAATTATGTGTGCTAAAACAGAATAAATGTGCATTTGTTTTTATTGCTTTGTTTATTTGTACTTTTAACTAAAGACATTTTGTTCTGTTTCAATCTATGCAAGTTTTATTTCAGTCCAGCCCCAGTGCATCCACTGTGACAGGTTGAATATGCCCCCACCACCTTGTCTTTTATTTTGGAGAGCAAAATGTCTTGTGCTAGCTCTGAAATTAATGATAGTTCTCCCATGTTTCATTTGAGGAGAGAAATATAAAACCTGAACATCTATGGCTGGGAAACATGAGCCCATGTATGGTAGGAACTGTCTCAGAGTGATTTAATTACTGGCATGATGAAAACCCATGAAAGGCATAAAGCTTACAGGAGCTCTCCCCATCAGCAGTTCCTCTCTTTTCTTTCACGTTGTTCTTCTGCTAATGAGGACGGCTGGCTAAATCCCACACCAAGAATCTCAGCTTGTCTTGATGCTTACATCTTTACTTCTTCAAAGCAAGATGCAAAACCTATCACAGAATAGGGTTTCTTTTATGTGAGCAGTTGAACTATAAGCAGCAAAAGTATTCCTAGATTAAAACCGGACACAGATTTACCAGTTCCCTTTGATCACTGACAGGTTATGACCTGTCTGATCTGAGCTGCTTTGGCATTGCTGTCTTGGGCTTGTGGGTGTGTGTGCATGTGCGTGTCTTCATCTTGGTCCTCTCTAGCATAAGCAAAAAGTGAAAAGATATTCTGCTAGTAATGTATCTCCAGGTAACTGATGCTAATCATGATGATTCTATTATGAAAAATAAGTGTGATTGTATGGTATTGTTCTGCCAGCTAGGAATGCCATTAAGAGAAATTAGAATCCAAAAAGAGTAGCCAGAGCAAAATGTCTGATCTCTTGATTAAACTCATCTGCATAGTGGCTCCCCCACCTTGTCCCCAAGTGAGGAAACCTTCATCTCTGTATAGGTGAAGATAAGAGGTCTTGCATGAGTCTCAGCTTGTAACCAGAAAGAGAAATTAAGTGTCTGATTTCCAAGCCTGATTTCAATATAATGAGCACGCACAGCCTGCATGTTCTATGCGATGCAATTAATCTACTAAATGTCCCTATTACAGCAAATAATGACTTCTTATGAGTTCTGAGCTTTGAGACTAGGACAGACTGCAGCTCCTTTGAAGGCAAGGGACTATTTCAAGCAAAGGAATATCAAGAATTAGAGATGGATTATTATGGCCACTGTTATTTTTTTTCTTGGGAACACAGGCATTTCAAAATAGTGGATATGAAGTAGTGAAGTCCTGCAAGTTGAATTTGGATGTTGGCTAGTCTTACCCAACTTCATGCCTTTCAGATGTGCTGAACGTCAACTTCCCATATTCCCCCAGTAACTATTGGGATTGGGGGATTATGAAAATGGAAGTTCAACAGATTTGGA